CCCCCAAGTGCCTACATGGCGTGTAGCAGGACAGCTTTACATTTTTTATGTTGAGCAACTTTAATTTGTTCTTTACCCGCAGAACAAATTCAGTTGCTTGTTGTTTACTGTGTGAGTTGATCTTGATAATCCACTAAGGAGCCAAGGAACCTTATGTTCTATTTAATGCATTTCTTCCTTGCATACTGAACATGTGTAAGATTGTTTGGACCTCAGATGTATGAAAAAGCTCTTGTCAGTGATGTTTATGCCTTCCGTGATCGTACTGTTTTATCCTCATTGCAAGACAAATGGAATTTACTGTGTGCCGAACAATTTATGTATTTACCATTTTTTCTGTGGTGCTTCGTTTGAGAGAAGTTCTTTGTCTTTGCCTTGTTTTCAAAACACAAAATATTGATAATTTTCTAATGCTTGCCTTTCCAAGTAGAAAATTTTTTGTGCCTAACATTTTTTATGACTAACCGTTGAGGGAAGCGGTAGAGTGGATGGACGGTCAGGTGTTATTTAAATGGATATATATTACTGTGTGAAAAATAGTTAATTTTACTTTTATTCACTTCTCAACTACACACATGTGCATGAAAGAATTTGGTACGTGTGGGTTATCGGGACACATCGCTTTAAAATAGGTTAGGTTAGGTTAATGTGTGTGGCTAAATGACATATACTTGAAAGTTATTATATTTTATTTCAATAAATGTCAACTAACCTAACCTAACCTATTCTTAAGCGATGTGTCCCGATAACCCACAAGTACCAAGAATTTTTAGCTTCCTTCTCAGTAATTTAAAATGCCTGAACAATTTTGATGGAGAGCTGGAGTTGATCATTCTCTATTTTGAGTTGAACTTTAAAACATTGTTTTTTAAAGCAACCTGAAAAGTCTCATTAGTTTGACTTAAATGGGTTAATTTCAGTGTTTTTATTATATTCGGCATTACCATATACCAACTACAAACTGATGCCAGATTTCACAGAAACCTGTTTTAAATAATTTATTACACGTGAAAGATTGCGTTTCAGTCTAAAAATGTAAGGGGTTTTTAAAAGAGATTTGCAAAGAGAAAATGATTGGGAACCACTGGTCTGGTGTTGACTTACTAATGGTGGTAATCTTCTTAAGGTGCCTTAGATGACTTCGATAAACCCCTGCCTAGCAAACCAGCGGACGGTACGACTGAGAAAACAATTAGTGGTGGCACAAACGACAACAGTGAGATTGCGGATGATGACGAGCTTTTGGATACAAAATGGACAGATGAGTTTATCAAACAGGCAGCCATTCAGTTTGAGCAGAACGTGCAGTCTCTTTTGACACAGAGTAAGCAAACAGGCTAAAGTTTGACCTTTTCTATTTTAATTGTTACAATTTTTGCAGTTTTGATTGGTTAGTGACCTTTCAGGCAGTTTTTAAATTATTGTATTTCAAGTTTATGAATAACAGGAGTTAGTTGTTTATATTTGTGGTTGATTAAATTAATATTCGGCCATTTTCTGAAAATTCAGAATTGCTTAGTGAAAGGATCTCAGCTGTCTGTAGAAAAATGGCCATAATTGATGATATAGGGAA